TGTGTGTGTGTGTGTGTGTGGAACCCACCACTCCGATCAGGAAGGGACTTCCTGCGTCTCCAAGCAGATGAGAAATGACGATCTGCAGAGCTTCAGCCGTGGAGCGGCGGGTCGGAACCACAACATACTGGAGGGAGGGAGAGAGAGAGAGAGATAGAGAGAGATAGAGATAGAGAGAGAGGCAGCTAAACACAGGAGCTCTGAACATGTGAGACGTTCTGCAGCAGGTTCTCACCAGCAGCATATCAGCCACGATGGCCCAGTTCATGGACAGGAAGGTCTCCCCGAGGAAGATGAAGGCCTGAGGACACAGAAGCAGATCTTCATCGGATCTCAGGCGTCTGGCCAGTGCTGCTTCTGGCAGCCATCTTAGATTTTTAGTCTTCAGGATAAAAACTCTTAGTTTTAGTCACATTTTAGTTCTCATGTGATGTTTTAGTCCTAAACCTAAAGTTAGAATCTAGTTTAGTCAGTTTTATGTTGCAAAAAAGTGAAACTTTAGAATTTGGAAAATCAACCAGATTGTGAGACAGCTCTATCCTAGATGCTACAATAGCTGGGTATAGAAAGCTGCCATGCAGATCAGCATTCCTGTTGGACAGAAACTTTGATTTATAGAATTCAACTGAACTTTTTTTTAATGCTCTACTTTATGAAAAAGTGTTGAGAGCAGGAAGCGCCGTACGGCAGCGAGCTACGCCTGCACAAGCACAGCTGGAGGATCAGGACCGGATCATTCCGGATTATTTCCTTCCTATGATCCATCTGTGCTCCTGCAGAACGAGCAGCGCTGCACGCCAGGTGGGGGCGGGGCCAAACAGGAGGCAGCAGGACCGACGACCCGCTGAGTTTCATTAAATCTCGCTGACGAAAACTCAAACCCATGATTTCATCATCAAAGATCCCCGCTTAGCTTAGTGTCTGACACGGATCAACCTGGATCCAGAACCCCGACCAGAACCTCGGTGCGGCTCCTGGTTCTGAATGAACTCACGTATGTAGCCACGGTGTTTCCCTGAGCGAAGACGATGGCGAAGTAAAGGAACGGAGCGGAGAGGAGCAGGCCGGCGGCGCACACCAGCGGGTCGGCCCGGGGATTCTTCTTCCTCAGCTGCTGACTGGCCTGCACGCCGCTGAAGACGCCAAGCACGCCGGTGATGACGGTGATGATGCCGAAGATCAGGCTGTGGAGGATAAAGGCAGAAGGTCAGTTTTCCTGCAGCGCCGTTGGTGTCGCATCATCAGGAGCACTGACCTCTCTGAGGACGCGCAGTGGGCGTCGTCCACGCAGGGAGCCTTCTTCCCCGTGAAGACGGCGGCTCTGAAGAGGAAGGTCGGGGCCCAGAGGGCGAGGGAACCCGTCACGAACGCCACGGCCGTGAAGCCGAAGGTGGACAGCACGAAGCTGCGGCTGCAGGAAGAAAAGATCAGATCAGAGCGCCGAAGCGGGTTTACCGAGCGCAGCGGCGGGCGCCCCTACTTCCTGCTGAGAGTCTGCAGGTCCGTCAGCCAGCTGGTCTGGTGCAGCTCGGCCCGAGCCTCCACCGCCCCTCGCTTCGGCTCCTGGACCACGAACAACAGCAGGACCACGGCGATCAGACCCAGACCCGGGGTCACCCGCAGAGCCCAGTGCCAGTCCTTCGCCACCACGCCCACCTGAGATCCTACGATGTAGCCCAGACCGCTGGAGGAGAGACAGAACCGGATCAGAACCGGATCAGAACCGGATCAGAACCGGATCAGAACCGGATCAGAACCGGATCAGAACCGGATCAGAACCGGAGGTCCAGAGGACAACCAGGCTCATCTGGACCTGGTGTCAAAGGTCAACTACATCCCAGGAATGATAGAAAAAATAAAAACATCTAAAAGCTTCAGATTATAGAAACACATCAGTTAGAAATAACAAATAATGAATAGAAAAAAACAGATAAAGAATAAAACATTAAAACAAATAAATAATCATGATAACGATAAATAAC